TATGTATATGTGTATATATATATATATGTATATGTGTATATATATATGTATATGTGTATATGTGTATATATATATGTATATGTGTATATGTGTGTATATATGTGTATATGTGTATATATGTGTATATGTGTGTATATATATGTGTATATGTGTATATGTGTGTATATATGTGTATATGTGTGTATATATAATATATATGTGTATATGTGTGTATATATATATATGTGTATATGTGTGTATATATATATATATGTGTATATGTGTATATGTGTGTATATATATATATATGTGTATATGTGTGTGTGTGTGTGTATATATATATATATCGATAGATAGATAGACAATAGTCCCTCGATTATTGTGGGGGTTATGGTCCACACACCCCTGGGATGGGTGAAAAACCACAAAGTAGGAACGTTATATTTATTTTAGTATTTGTATACATACTAGGGGTGCAAGCATAGGCGTCACAACCATTATATGTGAAGGGGACAAGTCCCCCCCACATTAAAAAACGTTCATTTGGACCCCCCACTTTTACTATGAAACATTAGTTCAGGCGGTGCAGTTTCTTTCTTCCTGAACAAATCCATTCCACTTGATTAATAGGAGAATACTCAAACCACTAAAACTCCACTCCAGGTTTTCCTGGTTACACCTCCAACTTAAACACATCAGCCTGTTGCCACGGTCACAATATACGGTGGTCACAGAATATGGTGTAACACCTGCAGTGTTTCTGCGCGTCTCCTCCTGCCTCGGCAGAAAACGCGCACATGTTGATCGCTCGCCAGTTTAGCGAGCTTTGTGCAGGCAGTTGTTGACCGGGGGGGTTGATCATAAACACACATATGTATATATATATATACAGTATATATATATATCAGTAAGTGTGACGCTGTGAGACGCTGCAGGTGTAAGAGACGTGGTGTGTTCAGGTGCATTAAAGTTGAAATATCTTTAAACCCCCACACCTTATTGTCCTCAATCTTCATGAGAAACATCATTTAGATGAGTAGTGTTGAACACAAGTAAAAAAGTCCAGTGGTGATGTTTTTTATTCTCTGTAAAGACAAATAGTGCCAACCTGACGCTCTGTATTAAAGTGTATTAAAGTTGAAATGTCTTTAAAACCCACAGCTGAATTTACACAAACTTGGTGAGAAACATGTTTTAAATGTGTGGAATTAAAGGAAATCTAGGTGAAATGCTGCTTTTTTGTAAACTAGTGAACACCTTTTTTTTAACGCATGCACGCGCACACACCTACACACATCATTGTGTCCTCCGGATGCTTCTGACGCCCTTGGGTGCACGATAAATCGGCCCCGATTTCCTTAATTTTAGGAAATCGGACAATGCATGAGAAACCGATTTTACCAATTTTTTTAGTTTTACCAACAATTGTCTGAACTTGATTTATATTTCAGAGCACGACCTCATGGCCAGTTAAAACATGTTTGTATTGTTTCTAGGATGTTGTTCATGGGTATGTTTTTCAATAACGTAAGATTGGACAATTGAAGGTGCATTGTGACCTTATGACACCTGACAGTGTCGCTTATGAAACTAAATCTGAATCGGCAGGTCAGACTTATTAGAAATCTGTGATCGTCCAGAAAACTGCAGTCGGTGCACCCCAATACATACATATATGTACTGTACAGTACTGCAAAAAATTTACTCAGCAGCTCTGCAGAACAGCAGCTCTGTTCCGGTTCGGCTCGCTTCCAGTTCTGCAGACCTACCCTGCAGCGACGAAGCCCCGTCCACGTTGTTGTGCATGTGGATAATTGAGCTTCAGGATTATTTGCAACTTTCCTGCCAGTACTGTGATTTTAATGGATCGATCGTTACTTCTGACTTTACGTTGCAAAACTTTCCATTTCGGCAGAAAGCAGCGGCTGGAAGCACTGTTGGCTTCTGGGTAGTGTAGTTCTTTTGACTGGAGTTACAGTGTAGGCTTATTGAAAGAAAACTACAAAATGGCGGCGCCTGTCTGAAGTTTTTTTCGTTAACTTATCTCGTACCGTCCAAATCACGTGAGTAATATTAAAAGTTGACAATCGTGTGTCGTGTACAATCTTAGTTGAAAAACTGTGAAAGAGCGAGTTTGCGAAAGTCGAACCGCGAAGTAGCGAGGAACTTTATATAACTTTATATACTTATTTATATAACGCCAAGTCACAACAGAAGTTGTCTCAGGGCACTGTGGTTCAGGCATCTGGTAAGGATGCTCCCTGGACACCTCCTAGGGAGGTTTTCCGGTCATGTGCAACAAGCTCGCTGCTTTATACTTCAGTAAATAAACACTAAGGAGTGCCTAATGGTTGGCAACATGAACTGTTTCAAACTAAAAGTGGTTTAAGAGTTGTTTTCTCAGTGACCTAGGTGCTCAAGTGTCCGATAACGTGTGTAGTTTGATATAATTTGCTCAGAGGTTGAAGTGTGTTCCTCCCTTTCTGTTTTCCTTCATAGCGTTGTTTTCATGCTCCTTCTGTTCCCCTCAGGGAGCGCATGTGGATGAACCTGATCCTGGTCATTTCTGGCATCTTCCTGTTTTTCCTGCTCGTCACGGGCTGCGTGCTGAAGGTCGGGCGCGATTCGCTCTGCGCCTCCATTAAGAAAGCGCTTGAAACCATTAGCAGGTAAAACACACACCTATGTGCACTATAACTCCGGCTCTTAACTGACACTCATTTGCCCCACTCTGGGCCCTTAACCCCCACCATCTGCTCCCAAACAGGTCTCTCTTGAAGTTGAGTCCTTGTGACTGGGTGAGACTACCTGCATAAGTAAAAGTTACATAGAAATATGACAACCATAGATGGTTGTTTGTCAAACATTTACAGTTATTGTTGTAAAACACACACACACACAAACGTTTTATCAGATGTGGGGGTTAGAAGCAATGCTTAATTTGAGCCAGATCCTGCTGGAACAGGATCCAGGAACTCTTTTTTTTTTTTTGACACGGTGTGTTCCAGTAACTGCTTAAATCTGGTAACTCTCAGGCTTACTAATAATAAAGTTATGAACAAATATGACTGCCTTGACTGAATAAAACTTATATTGGATGTAAACTGAAAATACTTACATAAACACTAATTTTAAACACAACAGCCACTTACAAGCATACAATCTGCCTCTTAAGTAGAATTTCCGCGTCTACCCTTAAAAAAATATCCACCCCTAAAAGAGTGGTGTGGGTGAGTGCCGAGCTAACCAGGCAGACGTCCGCGGGCAGGAGCCCACAGGCAGCCGCCATGAGCAGACTGAGAAGGCGCCTGGAGGTTTCACATGTCGAGTCGAACAACAGAGGACAGTGTCGGGCTTGGAACAGTCCGGGGGGGTAGGATGCTTGACAGAAGTGGACTGTTTACGAGTTGAGGTAAACGTAGATGTTTAACAACCCATTAAAATGCAGCAAATCACATCAACTTTATTCAAAATTTTCTGGGGAGGACACCACCACCATTTGCGTTCCAGCATTGATCGGTTTCGAAATTAAGCCCTGGTTAGAAGTGAGAGGTTGAGGTACTCAGTATATTTTTACTCACAATTTATTTTTGTACATGCTTTTAAAAGTATCTTTTTAAGATAAGATTAGGATTCTTCTTTATCCTTTTGTTTGCCAGCCATGAGTCGGGCTGTTTTCGAGTCCCTCTCTGTTATCGTAAGATATTTTTTGTTGTGTGTGAAGACACAGTAAATGTAAATCTTAAATTCACTAAACAAAACTGTCAGTTCTATAGATGTTTTCTTACCGATAACGTTCATTTTATTGAAGGGTTGTAACGCGCATGGGGGCTCGTCCGGGATTTCGACCCAGGGCTTCTCAACTTCTCTCTGTTCCTTTAAGTTTCTCCAACTTATTCTGTCTCTCTCCCCTCCACTTGGAAAAAATGAAATTGTCCATTCCCCCTCCACCAACCCCCTCTGGGCCCCAGAACAATAAAATAGGAACATCGTATTCTGAAACCCGACTTGGAGTGTCTTGTGAATGAGCCTCCAGAAACATCCATGTGGAGATGTGCACACAGAAACCAACACCCTCACAAAGGTGTTTCAAATCTAACTAAAATTTTAAACACTTTTTTGTTTTACTTTACTTTATTGGACCATGCTAGTTTTATTATCACTGTAAGCTGTTCATTGTTTTTTCTAAATGAATGTAAATGTTTTCATCTCAGTAAGCCTCTGTTGATGGCTCAACACATTTCAGTCATTTTTTCCATTTATGTTTGTTGAATGTCTGACGTTATCCTCTCGTTTTTTTTATTTAGCCAGAGACTATAGTCAAGTGGGCTAATTATCAAAATTAGCCCACATGGCTAACTGCTATATTTACATAGTCCATTTGTGTTATATGTTTTGTATTTCTATTAAAAAAACAAAAGTAATGCACTTATCACATAGACTGAATCAAAGGCTGGTGTAATGACTTTAATTTCAGCAAATGTCTCCTTCATGTCAGGTTCTTACAGATTTTAGACCATTTTCTACTTCATCTCGGATAACTTTTTTTTTTTGGTCAGCTCTCTAACGTTGAGTTTGTTTTTGTTTGTTTTAAGCTGTGACCAAGCGCAGAGTAAAAAATGGGCTGATCCAATTCAAGGAGATAAGTTCTACAACAATCTTCACAAAGCAGAGGTCAGTGTTTCAGCACACATGGACAACAAACAGTGCTTGGAAAGTCAATGTTGCTGAAAATCTCTTATTGTGTAAATGTTTCTGAAGTATTCACACTGTTGGGATCCATTTTTCTTCTGTACATTTTTTTTTTTTTTTTGCACAATTCTCGTTTCGCAGTTTTCAAGCTCTTTCAACAAATCATAAATCAAAACGTTCAGCTCGTTCAGGACAATCCTTCTATGACTTTTGGTATTGGTGCAACTTTAGCTTTTTGAGATATTTAGCCTTTTCTGCCACTTTTTTTTCATAGAAAATGAACTGAGCTCATTTTACCTTCTTCAAATCTTTATCTGTTCACAACCTTTTACTGCTCCTTTCACATTTTGTTCTGGTTCAGCTGCTTTCAGCTTCCTTGTGCAAATTTAAACATTGTTTATGATATTTTCAGCTAATTTCAGCTGTTTTGTGCTCCCTTCAGCTTCTAGCTACAACATTTTTGTGTTTCTTCTAACTTCTTTCTGCTAATTTCAGCTTGTTATGCTCCTTTCAGCTTATTATACACTTATATATTATATATATTATATTATTATTATTATATTATATACATATATTCTATATATATTATTATATAATTATATAGTAAGTTTCAGCTTTTACTACTATTTCAGCTATTACATACCAGTAGCTGTTTTTATGCTAATTTAAGCTTTTTCAGCTAATTCCACATCTTTTGCACTCATTGCAACTCTTTCAGCTTAATTCAGCAGAAATGTGCTCTCTCCACTTCCTTCGTGTAATTTCAGCTTCTGTCTACTTTTTAGCTACTCTTCAGATTTGTTTTGTTGTTGAAAATTTCAGCGTTTTTAGATAATTTCCACTTTTTTATGCTCATTTCTGCTTCTTTCAGCAAATGTTTTTTTTCTGTTTTCTTCTGCTTGTTCTACCTTTTCAGCGACTTTTTTAGCGTTTTATTACTAATTTCAGCTGTTTTCAGATAAATTCAAGGTTTTTGTGATAATTTCTGCTAATTTCAGCTTGTTTTTTTCAGCTTTTTTCTGCTCGTTTCAGCTTTTTCTGCTATTTCAGCTACCATTTAGCTGTTTTTGTGCTACATTTACATTTTTCAGCTAATTTCACAAATTTTTTGTGCTCATTTCAGCTCCTTATACTTCCTTTTGGTACTTTTAAACCTCTTTCTTCCTTTTCAGCTACTTTTTTTGTTGTTGCTAATTTCACCCTTTTTAGCTTATTTCCTCAGTTTTGTGCTCATTTCTTCTTATTTAAACCTAATTCAGTAAACTTGTTTCTGCTTTCTTCTAGGCTTGTTCTTCAATTTCAGCTACATTTCAGCATGTTTTTTTTAGCTAATTTCAGCTGTTTTTTCATCAATTTCTTCAGCAATAACCATTCACACTGCATTTTCACATGAAATGCAGTTTCTCTAGTTATAATAAATTTTTGTATTTGGATCTCTGGCGTAGGGAAGTCGTGGCTTCAGCTGAAATAAGCTCTTTGTTTTGTCATTTCCCTCCTCAGACGGCGGTTTGGGTCAACTTCTTCCTCTGGCTTGTCATCGTGGTTTCGGTGTTCATTCAGCGGTGCCGGAGCTCCGAGGCTATGTTGACCGTGGCACCAGCCGGAGCGCTGTTCGGCGACTCGTCAACCACTGTTGAGGAAACAAAGCCATTTTTCAACCAACCCGCGGGTCCGTAATGAAGTTCCAGAAACCCAAACGGTAGCTCGAAATCAATCATCTCGAAACGGTAGAAATTGTAAATATACCCTGCAGCTTTAAAAAAAGATCGGCTACAAACAAAACTGCAGTTTGTGATTTCAGGCCGCATAATCCAAAGATTTAAATGCGACCCGTGTTTCCTCATTTAGCACATCTCGCTTCACTAAAACTACTTGAGGTAAATGCTGTTTTCTGTTTGTTTAAACAGCCAACAGGGAAAATGATTTTACAGCTTCAGTTTTCAGTGAGAAGGGCTCATATGAAACAAATATTTTTGTGTTTCAAGTATTAAAAGAAGCACAAAACAAGTTGATGTGTAACTGAGATGTTTGCTGATGATTTTGTCCTTAAATAAGTCAAAGTAGAAATGACGGATATGCCTCTGATGTCCGGGTGGAACATAAACACAGACTGTGTCTCCCTCTGGTGGCCTTTTTTTAAACTAATTTGTAACCAGAATATTGTGCCAAGTGGATCTGCCTGCTTGTGTGTGTTTGTTGATTTGTCTGTCTGTTAGTAAAATATCTCATGAACCACTAGATGGACTTCAGTGAAAGTGAGAGTAACCATTGGATCTACAACTGATTAACCTTTAGTTGGCTATATTAAAGATGGCTGCCACAGCTATTGGCAAACACAAAGATACATGTCTGTGATGTCATGTCATGTTTCAGATATTCAGCTAAAAGTAGGTGTGGTAGTAGCTGAGAGTCATTCCCAACACAAACTGTTTATGATAAAAATGATGGTTGGTGGTGAGCGATTAGCGCTCCATCAAAGAACGTTGGTTTAATTTTATGAAGTATTTAAAGAAACCTGTATGTGGACGGGTGCTTTGTGTGTTATACGGTCTTTTTATAAAATTTAATAAAGTTTTAACTCAATGGGTTCATTTTTAAGAGTAATATTTTCAATTTCAAGCTTTTTTTTTTTTTAAATTGCATTAGATGCATCAATGTCGCCATTTCATTTACATTGCAACGCATTCAAAGTAAACGGATTACTTGGGTGCAAGCTCAGTTCAGCTTGAACATTGTTGTACCTTATCTGACATTCAGTCCTTTAAATGAAACCAGAGCGCTTTAACAGAGAATGGAGAAATGACTCAGCTTTCACATTAGCTCCAGAGCCATATGACGTTAGCTCCAGGGCTAATGTATATGACGTTAGCTCCAGGGCTAATGTATATGACGTTAGCTCCAGGGCTAATGTATATGACGTTAGCTCCAGGGCTAATGTTTATGACGTTAGCTCCAGGGCTAATGTTTATGACGTTAGCGCCAGGGCTAATGTTTATGACGTTAGCGCCAGGGCTAATGTTTATGACGTTAGCGCCAGGGCTAATGTTTATGACGTTAGCGCCAGGGCTAATGTTTATGACGTTAGCTCCAGGGCTAACGTTTATGACGTTAGCTCCAG